AAGGGTTTACCCATGCAGGGTGCAAAGAGAGCAGGGTCTGGCCCAAGGGAGTTCAGATGCAGCAGACTGATCTACCATCAGGCTCCAATATGTTCCCAGAAGGTACAGTATAATTCTGAGGCCAAGGAACAGCCTATTAGCTCTGCATGCCATTAATTTTCATGAATAGTTCAATCCAGTGCTCACAGAAGCCTTCGGGCATCTTTCCATTTTGTCTAGCAGGACCTGGATTAGGGCTTATTTATCTTTTCATTTTATACCTTATCTTTAAGTAGGAAGCAGCCCAAACAGTTCAGTGCAGCTGTGCAGGTTTCCAGCCCTCAGCCAGGCTGTGTGCCCAGCCGCACGCAGGAACCTGTCCGCAGGTCGGAGTGATGGCATGTCACAGTCAAAGCCACTCAGGGAGAATTAAACTTCAGGCTTGTTTGACTAAACTTCTGAATTCACCACAGTTCCTCTGTTTTGCCAGCCTGAAGAAACAGCCCAGCAGGTTCTTGAGTCATATGCCAAACTGCCTCCTTCATCCTCCCTGGAATTGGAAATGATTACTAATAGGTATTCTTGCTGAAATGATTTAACATAACGTGCTGAGTGAGATCACTAAGTCAAAATATCTCTTCCTAAGTGAGTCTCTTGCCGCTTGCCTGAATGCCAGAGGGGGAGGAGGACAGCATGAAGTGAATTCTTTTGCTGGCTTCTGTGTTTTACAACATCTTTTAAATTACTGAAGAATTCACATTAGGAAGTTTCACTCAGGCTCATTACAAGGGGTCCGTGATGCAGGTCTGGCAGGCAGCCAGGGAAAGGAGACACCAGGGTTTGGGTTAACCTCTCTCTTTCATGCTTTCCCCTTTTCCAGTCTAGCCTGGGAACTGAAGACAGGCAAGAAGATGAGGTGGGCACGAGAGCAAAGATGGTGAGGGGCTGGGCACTCTTTGCTCTGCATGCACAGCCCTGGATTTACATCACCAAGGCAGCTGTTACAGCAGGCTGCAACCAAGTGAAACACAGGATTTGGGGAGGAACAGAGGTGAGCACCACAAAACACACCACTGCACACCAGGCCTGCTCAGGGTTTCACTGAGAAACCCGTCTGCCCATCTGAGTCTGTCAGCCTCAAAATTAACTTATTGAAGTCAGCACTCATAACAGTAGTGCAGACTTTTGATTGAGTCTTCCTTTCTGAGAAAGCCCCATACTCTCTGGCCCAGCACAGCTATTACCTGCCAACCTAAAGGATGATGAATGTTATTTATATTGCAGTAATGGCTAACCACTCAGTGGAGACCAGGGACAGGCTGTGCTATGGACTTTTCAAACACTCAGTGAATGAGGGCTGCCCAAAAATGCCTGAAACTGCTGAGACATTTCAGGATAACGTTCTTGAATGTCTTGGACATGATGACCTCCAACAACTCTGCAGTACTTGTGCCGACTGCAATAACACAGAGCCTGTTCTACAGTAAAGATGTTCTTGAGTCATACCAAATTCTTACCAGTCACTACTACATTCTGTCATGATAGCAAGCAATTACTTGAGAGGAGGCTTTTAAGTTCCTGGATGAATAAAGGTAAAATATTAATCTGTTTCAAACCAAACAGAAAACATAGAGGTAAAAAGAGTTATTCTAATGAATAGTTCTCCTAATATTTAGTTGATAACAGTTTTGCTGTCCAAGAAACAAAGTTGATTAATGAATAAGAACTACTCAAGATGGAGATGATAAAAGTAATCCAGCGACAATAAAATATGAAGGGCCTGATTCTATAAAAGAAACCCTGTAAGACCAACTTAAGTTTGGCATGTGCACATTTGCATGATTAGACTGCAAATAATTGCAGAAAAATGTAAGAACTAATAAACTATAGCTTTAGCTTTCCACTACAGTGAGCCCAGAGGGTAGACAGCTGACACTTCCTGGGAAATACCCTCTCAAGACATAGTCCTGCAAAGATGCAGAGGAAATACATCTAAAACATTCAGTGCAGTTGTGTTTTTCGCTATTAATCATTCTCTTTGTATCTTAGAAAAATCACACAGTGACTTCTTTCATATGCACTGAGGTACAGAAACCTAAAATATTAAGTGATGAATTCTACCAAGAAATGCCTTAGAGATGGTGCTGAGGAATAAGTGTCAGCCCCTCTTTTACCCCTTCTACAACTAATATTCCAGTACTATAATTCTAAAAATATATTCAGAAATCAGCAGACATTTATGTCCATCAGAAACCTTATTAAAATACAAGTGCTAAGAATATCTTACCTTTAATTATATTCTTTACACTTAAAAGTTGCTTTAGACAAGGCTGTGTCAGAGCTTCACAGCCAAAAGCCTGAAGATATCAGAGCCCAATAAACAGATTAAGCAGGGATTAACCTGATATGCTTTTTTCTGTCTTTTCCATCAGATGAGTGGTCACTCCAACACCAAATGGGAGAAATTAAGCACACAGTAAGAGGCTGAAAGTACTTTCTAGCTGTCTCAACTCTAGAAGTCTCCTGAGAGGGCTGATGTCTCAACATCTGGGCATTCCTTTCACTGTCAGACACTCAGAGCAATGGGATTTATCAGCAATCTGCTGAGCATATACAGATGATAACTGCAGAGCTTGGAGAGCTCAAAGGCATTTACAGATAGAAAGGGGTTTGCAATAGACATGTGGAGCCAGAGCTGAGACCCAGAGTCTGTGAAAATTATTCCCAGTAGCTGTAAACCTTTAGCTGCAGTAGTTAAACCAGGCAGCACAATATGCAGAATTTAGCCTGGGTGCACTTTACAATTACACAAACTGCTTGAGGGAGGCTGAGCAGCCTCCACATCACATATTACAAGGAAAAGGATGCTGGGATAATTCTGGAAGGTCGTCTTTGCTCCTAAACCACAACACCACCTTATCACTCAAATACATGGAAATAAAGTGTCATTTATAAACAGGTTTGGGATGGACAGTGCATCTAAAGCTCTCTCCAGAACCCACATCTCACCTAATGGTACTTAATGCCTCACAGATTTTACCCCACCATGATTCACATATATTCCTGAATCTTTTAAAGTATCTCTTTGACAAAGGGATATGATTTCTTGGTGTAACACAGAGATGCATTATGTCAAAAGATTTTTCCTGTAGTGATATAAACTCTAAATGATTTCCAAAGACAGCTTTATTTTTAATAATTTCTCCTTTTCACATTTTGAAAATGGCTTTATTCACTTATGATAGCAAATTGCTTAAGTCCCTCCATCCTCCAATGCAGCCAGTGACAGAACTTCACACCAAACTTTTTATAGCAGCAAATGTGTTTTTGTTTCCCTAGTATCCTAAAAAAAAGGAATATTTCTTCAGCTACAGTCTGTACAAAAGCATAAGTTAGCTCTCTGGTGTTCAAGAATAGCTGGTTAGACTCTGAGGCTGCAAAAGATATATTATCACATCTGTGTCTAAATATTTATGCTTCCTATGTCTGCTAAAAGCAACACCTACAATTGCTATAACTGAAAATGACAAGATAAAAAAATATTTTTCACCAATTTGTCACCCTTTTGCATTTAACAACACTAAAGATACAGTGCAGTTCATTAACAGAGTTTTGCCTGATTCTGTTTAGATATAACAAGGGAAAAATAAATGTGTTAAGCAAGAAGCAAATGGAATTGTAAATAAGACAAAAATGGAAACAGATTTTGTGGGGTAGTACAGCATGTAAAACTGCTTAACACACATGAAAAAGAAAAATCATAGAATCATTTAGGTGGAAAACCCCTGTAAGATCATTGAATCCACCACTAACCTAGCATGACCCTGTTCTTGAGAGCCACAAATACACGTTCTTTAAATATCTCCAGGGGTGGTGACGCCACCACTTCCCTGAACAGCCTATTCAATGTCTGACAACCCTTTGGGTGTTAACTTTCAAGTTGTCTCACTCAACTGCTTTTAACCATAGCAGCAGATAAGGTGGCCATCCTTTCTTTCCATGGAATCTCCTTGCCCAGCAGTCTCATTATAAGGTTCTCAGGCACTATACTTTATAAAATTGGTCAGTAATAAACTTTTTTCCACCATTTTTGCATATTTAAGTAATTGAAAAACTTTAAAATACGCCACCATTTCTTTGTGAGCAGGGAGTTGTCATCATGCACACATGACAAAGGCAGAAATACAAAAGTAGAAAATGTCATGAGTTCTCCTTCAAGCAGATAGTATTGCAGTAGCACTGAACAAGTTTATATTAATTACTTTCAGAAGGGTAAGGAGATGTCATATTTCAGATACAGGATTCTACCAAACCCACTAAGAACAATCCATAAATTTAACAATAGTGAGACTTTTTCATAGACTCATTGTGACAGCTGTCAAGCTGGGAAAAACTTTTTGTTAATGCCAGTACAATTGTTCATTTAAACAAAAGCCAGTAATTCAATCACACTGGAACAGCTCACATGCCCAGTTCTGCTGTACAATCTGCACACAGGCAGATATTCCATCCATATGCATAGTTGCCCTTTAGTTTTCATATTTGAGGCTACAATGTGATTTGTCCAGACCTGAGCAGAGCCTCACAAAAATCAGGCCAGAAGGCAATTTGTGGTTGAGTTTTAACAAGCCACCTGTGTTTTTTCTTGTTGGAAGGGGGAGGTTTGGCACTCCAGGTTAGCAGCTGGCATAGGACACGCTCTCTGCATGCCAGGCTGACCATGCGGTCATTTTTTTTCCCTGAGCCCTCAAAATAAAAGTAAACAACTATTTGTAGAGATGTCACCTTGCTCTGTGTGCAGTGACAGACTGAAGGAGCACAAGTGTCAACTGTATCCTTCCTAGAGAGCAAGCTCACAAGAAAATCCCAGTATAGGTCTCGTTGCTATCACACAGCCTTTGCAAGAAATGAAAACACAGAGATCCCATTAACCACCTCCACCCAAGGCAGGGCCTGGATCATTAAGGTGGTTTATTAACACCAAAGCCAACTCTGTGGAAGAAATAAAGTGCAACCCTTACCTCCTCGTAGACGTCGTCATTCCTGCTGAAGTCTCCGGCCCTCCTCGGAAGCACATGGACATGAACATGCTGAAAACGTGAAAGAAAATAATGGGGATTATCAGGTTCATGACTTTGTTTTCTGGATTGTCAGCATTATTCTCAACACACACAAGTAACCACACACAGGCTCCCACAGCATTATTTTCAGAGGAAAATACATTAACCTGGTCCATAACTGTATCTTGACTCTTTGGAGAATATAAAAAATGAAAAACATGAGAGAGCAGCTCTGCTGTATCATATCAGCTTCAGAGTGAAAAGCCAGGAAGTTTAGAGGCTCTGTGGAATTATTCATAGTTGTCAGTCAGAGATGTATTTAGCCAGAGGTTTGCAACGACAATGTCCCTCGGAGAGATGTGTGTGGTGTCTTCAGAACCGACAAGAATAAGAAGGTGCTGGTGATGGGATGTGGAGGAGGGCCCGTGTGGGCAGCCTAGGCTCAGGGCTATGCTCACAGCCTGGGGGACAGAGGAGCTGAGGGGACACCACAGACACCATACAGGTAGAAAGGCTGACAGAAAAGGACACTGCCCATGCTGTGCAGCACAGCCTTTCACAAGGTTAAAAAGGTTGAATGCTTTGACTTTCTCCCAGGAGGCTGCAGCCTCAATACAACAAACTGAAGCCCCCAGAGGTATGTGACACATGCTGGGGACACACCCCTGCAGGGCCATGAAGTCCAGAGCACCAGGTGGCCCCAATCCTGCAAAGCACAAGGATTATTAGTCCAGTTTTTCAGAGCCTGAAGCATAAGCACCCCTCTCCTCCTGGCAGGGCCATGGCTCAGGGGGCAGCAGAGCTGAGGACTATGAGCTTCACAGACAGCTTTGGGTTACCCAGCACGGAAGGGAGGTGAGGGTGAAGTATTTTTGTCACAAGTGGTGATGAGACATGGGGAAAACAAACAAAACTGTGGACAGGAACACAAATATATGACTTGCCACCTCGATGTTGTATTATTAGTATTACCACTTTTTTTCCTGACACCCTCTTCAAACAACAAAGGAAGGGAAATTCAAGGTCCTCAAGACCCAAACTCTATGAGGAAATCAAACAAACGTTCATCCATCTGCTTCTCTGCAGTAAGTTCAGCTACTACATTGCAAAGCATTCTTTTACCTTTTTTACTTGCTATTTCACTCTCTTTTGAGAAAAGGAAAAACAACAACTAAGAATAATTCTTCGGAGGAAAAAAGAAAACCAATGCCTCAATGAGGAGAGGTAGCAAATAATCTGAGTGGCAGATCACATTTCTGCATCTCCAGATCTTTTTAGATAGTGCCTAAATCCTTTAAAAAAAAAAAAAAGGAAAGAAAGAAAAAAAGAATGCATCAGAAACAGCACCAAATGGTTTGCATAGAATTTAGATAGCTTGCACCTGATTCAATTTGATGATGTAGAAATCAGCTAAGATTCCTGCACCTCACTGCAACATTCTCAAAACATGGCTTAAGTCTATAATGAAATTTGAAATGAAAAAGATTTTCTTAGGCTATTTGTAAGAAAATTCAAACACACCTACATTGTGTTAGCTTCAATCCACAAAAACATCTGCTCAGTGAATAAAATGAAATCACAAGGATGTCTCAGTTAATGAAACATGCCGAATACCACACCTTTTTTATTTTTTCCCTCGGCTTTACCCTAGAAACCAAATATGTGATTTCTTATCATTATCCACAGCTTTCAGTGTATTCAGCATAGAGATGAGGGTGATTCTTGAGGGTCAGAAACTGTGTTTTTGAGTAATACATCAGTGATAGTGTTCTGATAGTGTATTATACTAATATATCATGAGAGCGAAAGTGCTCTTGTGATGTATTAGTGCAATGTATCATCTGAACATCACTGCTCTCATGATGCATTGCTCAAAATCACAAGGCAACTTTAAAGATGGTCTTCAGTAGCCCTAGGCCTGAAATTTTCCTTTTGGACAGACTTTCAAGAAAAATAAGAGTGAAGATTAAAATTTGCAGTGGTACTGTAAAATTTCACTACTGTCTCACACCTGTTTCTCACACGGTTCTCATTAGATTTTAAATTTATTCATAAAAATAGAGTCAGTTCATCTGACAGTCATTTTCTTTCTTTGCTGCTACAAGGAATGATAGTTTTGCTACAAATATCAATTTGCAGGAATTTCTCTTGATGATATGTATGAAATCTAACATTAGCTATCAACAACCATATTCCCCAGAAGTTCAGCCACCTTTAGGAGTAATTTTTATCTCTGTTGCAGAATGTTCCAGGATGCACACAGGAGAAGACCTGTACACCCATGATAATTTGGAATCTCAGAAAACACGCAGGGATGTAGTCCAGAGCTGAGTGCAGAGATGCTGCACTGCAGATGCACAGACCAGCACAGCAGGTCATGAATGAGCCTAATGTGATCTTCTACCCAAAATGGGCTTATGTGATCAGCACGGAAAAAAAAAGAAAAAAAAGTGTTTATGACAGCATATGGGCCCTTGGCATCAGTGGGGACATTCTCAGGGGTTAGTCACCTTTACTACATGCATTATGTTCTCACACACTGCCAGGCTGCATAGTAAAATCCATCAACTGTATCAGAAAACAAATGAATATTCCCAAGGTTTGAGGAAACAACAACCAATTTAAAAGAGAGTAATTTTTTTCCAGACATCTTTTTTTTTTCCCCTTCTGTGCATGGAACATAAACAAATGTCTGGATTCTCCCCACTGTTTGTGTAATGGAAACAAACAGGATCAGCAATAGTGTCTCAAGTAGTTTCCTTCTCTTCAGCTTTACCAACAAATACAAGCAGCACAGAGCAGCAGCTCCCAGAAACACTGAGCAAGGGGATTTCACGCCTTTTCTAATCTGCCTTTCAGCTTCTGGCCTTCCCAACTCAGAGAGGTTGCTGGTTTTGATTCATTAGGAGTTCTTTAATTGATCATTTTTACTCCTTAGTACTATCTGTTACTACTAAAGCCTCGATCCACCAAGGCACTTAAGCACCAGCTCGATTTCCAATGTGTGAATTGGTTCAGTGGGAGTATTCACGTGTTATGTACATGTCTCAGTGTTTTGCATCCACTGCTGGCTACAGGGAGGTCTCCACAGCTGACAGTAGCAAAAATAACTTCAAGGTGCCTGCAAATCAAAATTGCTTCCTTCCATTTTGTTTTCCAGACAAAACAAAAACCCGCAGCATCCAAAAAACCCCACATTTGCAGTTGACTGAAATGTGTCAGTAAATACAAACAGAATATTGGGCATTTTTTTCAACAAACAAAGATTTAGGCAAATCTTCGCTGCTTGAAGAGAAAAAAATCTAAACCTTGTCCAAAATTGTCAAAATATAAAGCATTTCAGCTTTTTTTTCCTCATTATTGTGGGTAACGTCATGCCTGGTGGGCGGCAGGCAGCCCCATCACATTCCAGAGGGCTGTATTCAATCACTGGTGATGGCATTTCATTTTTTTCCTAAAAAATTGCTTTCCCCTCATTTTGCATTATTTTGATTAATAAGCAAGAAAAGCAACACACAACAGCCAAGACATTTACATTAATGGACCAATCAATATCACCCACATCAGGGTAGAAAAATGCAGACACATGCTTGCACTGCTTAGTGTTAGCTCCACACCCTCCTCTTGCCAGGCACTGAGGGAGGAAGGTGTGTGGGGTCACAGGATACAGGGACACTGGGTGTGACAACATGAGGACACAGCAGTATGTCCCCAGACACCATATGAGTTAAAGATGCCTGAACTCCACAAGTTGCTTCTGATACTGGGGATAAGATTTCCAGCCAGGGATGTCCAGAACAGCAGTAGCTGGAAGGAGGCTGTGGGAGCTGAATTTTATAGGACCTTCAAAATTAAAATGGATTCCTGACAGTTTTCCACAGCTGGGACTACAGCTCCCTCTGCTTCCTGGTGGCTGCCACATTATAAATAAAATCTCAGTTTGAGAAACTCCTCATAGTGAGAAACATCACATGATGCAAATCAAGACCTTTCACCCAGAATGACAAGAGCATCAGAAAATGTACTGCAAGGAACAAATCTGCAGTGCCATGGGCAACTCATGAGCCAGGGCCAGCGTGTGTTGTCTCTGACCTCCCACTGCAGAGAGAGGATGCTCTGCTCGAGCCCTGCAGCATTCCCATCAGGACTGTGGGAGCAAGGGGCTGCCTGTGGGCACCCTGGAGCACACCCATCACACCACTGCCAAAATCTGGCCACAGCACAGGGATTTCTGGGATTACACATCTAACGTCGCTCTCCAGTGAACCAGGGGTGCAGAATGCTCAGAAAAGTCTCAGCCAAAAAAAATGGAGCCTGTGTGTTGTTGGAAGAACACACATTCAGGTCAGGTGAGTTTTGCTCCATCACTCAAGGCCATGCAGAAAGCAATGTTCCTGGTTATGGCTGGGTTTATATACTGAATTATGGTCGAATAACCAATGTGTCACCACTGCACTGGATGTAAAACGAAAATACTAGACAAAAATAGACAGTGAAGGAGATTTCCTGGGTAGACCAGAATAGTGAAGAGCAGATGACCCTGCCACACACCAGTGGGGAGGACATGGACATCGCCTGCAATAATTCATGAACATTATGCTGTGTTCACTCAGTGCTGTGCTGGTTAGCAGAGCAACAAAGCTCAGCTTCCAGCAGAAAGGGAGATAATAGCCTGTACAAGAGCTCCTCAGCACACACCCAGGGTCTATTAGCAATAAATGTTGCTATAGGATGAATACATAAAAACTGGCAAAGGGTCACGCAACCCTGAGGACACGGGTGCGGCCAAAATCTTGGCAGAGGAAAGGCTGCTCCCCCTGACATCTGCAAAAGCAGTACATGGCTGAGCTGTGCCTTCACACAGCAAACCCAGATGCCTTTCAGCAGCTTAATCCTTTCCCTTGCTACTTTTCATTCTTTCTACAGAGATGAAGCTTGGTAGTCGTGGGCTTCCACGGTCTCACGGTGCAGAAAGGACAGGGAAGGCCGTGATCTGGGGCACAGGGGAACATCAGGGCCAGGAAGAGTAA